TTTGCGTGGATGAGGTGTTTGGCGTCTGTCTGTATGACCAACGTCAAACACTCCTCATGGATTTTTCACACGTGGTTGTGTGGCTGGCTAGAGATTTCTCCCATCCGTTCGCTTCCAAACGCAAAACTTTCCACAAGAGTGCAGCACAGCAGCACAAATCACAAAGTTCCTGATTGCGTAAAACACGGCAATACTTCCAGACAGATGTAACTCCTCTACACCATTTCTGACTGATATAAAACAACAAAACGTTCACCCACACTAAAGTCACATTGAGCATGACGTATACAGAACAACATCGAGTGTGTTATTAAAAATGGAATAAAAATCTGAAAAAGAACATCGTTTGATATCTGGTAAAAATCTATAAAAATGCATGCTAGCATAATGTATGAAAATTGTATTTGAATTAATTATCGTTTTGAAGCTTTATATAATTATATACACCTGAGGATGGTTCTTTTAGGAACTGAAACATGTCGTGAAACATGAAAAATGATGGTCTAATGTAAATCGAATATTTCGATAAAGAACACCATTTAATATTTTAAATGTTAATTATTGTAATATTTTAATATTTAATAAGAATTTATTGTGATTAGACGGACAAGATTTAATATATACTTATTATATCACAATATGACGCAACTTTACCATCTTAGTAATATTTTCTGTTCCTGTGTCTAGAATTTTGTTTCTCCACGAATCGAAGTAGGTGTTTACGTCAAGAAAGGCAAGTAGTGCGTGAAGTAGCCACACTCACTCACTGACACATATGGGGCTGTATGAAAATCTTCAGGGCTTTCATCCAACCTTCTTCGTTTAACCTCGCTACTAAATCGGTCATGTTGAAAAATACGATGCATATTCATATTCCGTATAAGGACAGATATTTCTTTAAGAAGTTCCAATCCGCATGGACTGAAAAATGAAACCGACCTTGCTGGGACGGGTCATCAGCTGGCAGAATTTTCTCCACTATTAGATGATGACTATGATGATGATGAGTTAATGATAGGGATGCCGTAAAAAGTTAAGATTATAAACAAAAGTTAACAGTCATTAATTTACATCGTGCATCTTACACATGAGTACTCATCACACTGATAAATGGAAACAGGAAGGACCTCAGAAACGTCGGTAAACTTGTACCAACGGCGCAACAATTCATAATACAGCCAGGCACATACCAGCCGCCGTGAGGACCTAAAATCCCATGCTCTGCTGATTATTCATTTATTTAGTTATTAATTTTAAACTACTTATTTTAGGGATCATATAATTAAATATTTGTAAATTAATTGGAATGAAGTGAATGATACATCGCTGTCGTAATTTAGTATGTCAATCTTGTTTCTGTCCAGAGTAACTGAATAAAAAGACGAAAAGTCAGTCAGGAAAACTGGCGCGTGTGACGAGATTCAAAGCTGTGATATCCGAAATACAAAACAGGAGTGCCAACTATTCGACCGCGAGTTACGGTTAATCAATCACTATGGATAATCAGTTCACCTGCCAGGATTCACACTGTCAATCTATCGAATAAATTGTACACATTTTCCCCCTAAATGTAAATGATAAATACGCTTCACAGTCAGGTCTACTAGCGAGATGGCATTACCTTAGCAACAGCGAAAGCACTTTCATTGCTACAAAGGTCGTGCTAAAAGAGCCTCGTCTTTTATTGCAGTTCGTGGCTTGTGAGTATCAGACGAAGACGAAAAGCAAGGAATTCATAATATCAATGTCACCCGTCACATTCTATTTTGATAAGACTCTAATAACGATGCCCGTTATTGAATACTGAGTCGGGCACGTGTGGACACAAAGCATCAGCGATGTTTTCCTCTCATTAAATAACTTGTCAAACAAGAATAAATAAATCACAAGCCGGCAGCCAGAACCAAGGACCATGTGACATTAAAAGCCGCGACTACTGAGTCATCTACATCCAATCAATTTGAGGATCCTCGAGATACAATATCGAACTTTCGTCATGTCTGACTGGCCCAGCGCAGAGTTCGTCCAAAGCGGAACCATATCAGATTCAGACCCTACCGACTCTGGTAGCAAGAAATGCAAAACCCATGCTATCTACGGTGGGGGGTTATGGTGGTGTCTGGCGGAGTCTGAATTTAGCAGAAATTTGGTGTCGGGCGGTCGGATTTTTGTTGATGCCTTTGCTAGAAATTTGGCTTCAGTTGCCATAATCATGTTTTCACGTTCAATCTTCCTAAAAGCGAGTTTATAAATTTTATCACAATATCAGTTACAGGATCTGATCTTATAAAAGGAGAAACAGGTAGACCATGAATTAATAGACTAACTTCGTTAGCATGCGCGCAAAGATCAAAGTGTTGCTGGTATGTACAGGGCAGTCCAAAATGTTATTACCATGTATGTTTTTTTCCCTACTGAATGATACTGCGTAAAAAGTCATTCAAATACCATTCCAAATTCTGAATATTAATTTCATTCTTTGCTGCCGAAGGTCTGCCGCTGATCCTGTCTCGCGAAATTTCTTGACGACGTTTGAAATTGTGTGTCTGTCGGATTCAACTTTGACGCGAAACTTTACCTGGAACTCTCTTCTGACCTTTTCTGGGCTTTCAGATGATAGAATGTTCTCTTCGATAATGAATATACGCTGCTCGGTGCTGTACAAAACCGAACGAAAAAAAATATAAACAAATGGCTTGAGCACTACAGTGTGTCAGCAAACGTTCTTAAAATTATAATAACTGGTTGCGGATAAAATTAATTTTAAACTTGGTACGTACATTTTGGACCATTCTGTGCCAGAACCAAGATCCTCAGGAAAGGACATTGCCCTCGCCGAGGGAAAACAAGGAACAGAAGAAGAAAAAGAAACAGACAGAGGAGATAGAAAGAGAGAAATCTATACCCCGAGAGAACTTTGAATCGACTCTTTTTGTTATGTGCAGTACTACGGATATGATGCTAGAGTGCTAGCAAACAAGATTTTCCTTGTTTCTTTCAGCACGTGATAGAAACTTTCTAAAAGCAAGCAGAAACTTATAATCAAATTGTAAGTAATCATGCTTTATAAATCTTTTCTTTGATACTCCGCTTATTCCAATAAAACTAATGTTCATGTATTGCACACACGCGTGTGATGGAAAGCCATAAGCACTTTTGTCGGTATTTTAAATACGGTTTAAAACAAATATCTAGTTGTGTTTCCTACTAAGAAAGAAACATAACATGTGGAAACGAAAGCTCTATAAAGCAGTAATAAAGCGAATATTTTGATTTTACAGACGTAAAACGCGAATTTAAACTAGCTGAAAATATTTTAATGTGATTTATCAGAAAATTTATTTTGCTCATATCAGTTTCTGGCTTTACACCACTGAAATTAAATGTGGCAAAAATGATGTAACACTGCAGGTCCGTAACTACATTTTACATCGTTTTGAAAAACTAAAATTTCTTTGGAAATAAAATATGAAGTTATATTTAAGTTTCACGTAAAGCAGTGGTCTATTAGATCACGGAGAATTTAAATGGAAATCGCTCAATGTACTTCAGAGTCGATAGCCGATACGTAATTAAATTCAGTTTAGAATTGTTGACACATAAATTATGCTGCACATTGTATACATAATACTGCCTCAAAGCACATTTACCTAATAAACGTCTTTTCCGATAAGAGGCCTTTACATTTTTCAAGGTCATTTGAAAGTAAGTCACGCTTTGTCATGCTTTATCACGCATGGTCATGTTTGATCACAATTCGACATACTTCACCATTTTGTCACGCCTAGTCACGCTTGGTCATTACTGGTCACGCTTTGTAAATTATCGTCACGTTTTGTAACTTTTGGTCACCCTTTGTCGTGAAGCGGCAGGACTACAGAACAATTAAAGACTCTTAACTTTTGTCTGCTGTAACGTTTATGTATTCAAACGATAAATGGTGCGTCTAATGTCTAGTAAACTATGTCATAAAATATTTGTTGTGGTACGAAGCGAATAAGAGGCACTGAAGCGCAAACACCAGTTCTAATACTGAAACACATAGGTCAACCCTTTGATGTACGAGAGAGACAGAGAATTTCATCTAAATAATAGAAAAGTTCATTTCCTTCCTTTAAAAACATTCCACTGTTACAAAGACCAATCGGATTTTGCTTTTTGAGGAAATTATCGTTGTTTATGCTGAAATAATTAATACATGGCCCATTGATACACGTTATGGACAAAATTCAGAAGTCCTGAATGTTAAAGCGTGTGTTGCATATAGTTCCCATGCATGAAGCAAAACAGCTAAATTTTTCGAAAATACATATTTTCCTTCAGAATATAAACAGCCTGCTTTTCTAATCGTTTAAAAAACAGATAAGTTAAACAGCCAAAATTAAAGTAGATCCCATAGTTCAATATGATGACACATTTAGGCTACACGCAAGCTATTTTCATTGTTCTTTTTACGAAGTTTCGCTGCAAAGTCGCAAAGTAAAAAGTGGATACATTTCGTACATTTCGATTCACATAGATAATGGCTTACTGCCTATAGCTTATCTATTATTACGCCTAAGTTTTTACAAAATATTAATTTATACTAATAAATGTTCTTTCTATTGTTATTTATAGAAGTACCTGTGTAATTTAATAAATATGAATTAGAATAACGATTTTAATCTTTGCATGACTTCATAATTGTAAAGAATAAGCATGTAGAAACGATGCACTGGATTGTAATCAAAAAGAATAATGTTTATGGTAATTGATCTGAGCGAAATGAAAATAAAATAAACAAATGTTTTTGGAAATTGCGATTACCGTCTTTCTAAGATTTCGTCAGAACTTTCAAGACACTGAAATAAACTTTATGAGTATTATTCAGTCTTCTTGAAGCAACAAATTGTTCTCATCGGGCACAGTCACGACTCACAGAATTAATTAAGTAAGAAAGACGCAAGAAATGTCATTATTATATCCAGTCATTAGGTTCAACGCAAATGAGAGACACTCACCGAAACGTGACGTTAGAACGCTGAGTTCCCTCCGTCAAAGTCACGTCGGTACTCCAATTAAACGTGGCTGATGTTGTTCCATCCAGCTGACCGATCACAGACCACTCAGCATCAGGGCATACTTCTTCTGTCCAAATGCTAACAAACCGACCGCAGGGCCTGCCTTCCATTTCTGACATGAGGAAGAAATCTTGGACATCCTCCACGGTGCTACTCTTCGATACACGGACTGCAACAGACAAACAGACGAAAGCCGTGCTTTATGAAAGTGGATACAAGCTTTTAGTAAGAACAAAGCAGTGGCACGATACGAAATTTAAAAAAAATGGCGCAATTTCTAGCTAGCAGATCCTAATTCCGGAATTTTAAACGCGATGAACACAATGTTAGGATTAACACTTCAGGATCTGTGTTACACTAACACTAGTAAATACATTTACCTTGATTTGATAATCATGATAACGCGCCTGTTTAGTGAACAGTCAAAAGTCATTATGCAAATTTCTCCAGCCTCCTGTATCTTCTTCCCTTTTAGGCCCAAATATTCGCCTTAGTGCCCTGTTCTCCGACACCGTCAAACTCTGTTCATCCCTCACTGTGACAGAACAAGTTTCAGGCCTATAAAAACCCTAGTTAAAGTCGTTGTTCGGCATATTTTAATCATTATATTCTGCGGCGGGAAATCCCAAAAGATTCTGAAATATGTGGTAACAGCAGTCCCCGAATTTAACCTGTTATTGATTTCTTTCGTGATATTTTAATCTGTTTACCATCGTTCCTAAATATTCTAAATTTTCCACACTTCAAAGTAGCTACCGTATGATCTTGTATCCTGATAACGAGACGTGAACACAAACTACGCCCTCTATGGTTAAATCAAGGGACATATTAAACGTATCTGTCTCCGTCTGTCGTGAAGCTCCTGCCCCTGGATCTAACTGACAGCAAAGGGGAAACCATACAGAGGCTTGTGTCATTAGACAAACCCTCTGTGACGTCATGCCCCGTGGTTGAGGTATCATATACTGAGCTGCAAATTAGCTGAGAAGACCAACTATGCACGACCGTGCCAGAAACTATACAGCTCCAATAACTTGCATGATATGAATATCTTAATTAGAATCTTACTGACTAACCACTAACCACTAAAACAGCAAACAATATAATAACCGGAACATGCCAAATTAACTCTGTGTGTGTACGCACACTGGGTGCAGCTTCGTCCTGTTGAAATATCAGCTTGTGCAAGTTGAGCAAAGTGCTGTTTGTCCTGCCGATTTCTTCAGCGATCTCTAACCTATGTGCAAGTAACGCGAACCTTAAATTAATCTGAACGAGACCTACAGATGCTGATCCGAGTCGAAACGCCGTGCGAATTGGTAGCTACATGCCAACGCATCGTTCTTCAGCCCTGAAGATGAAGGCAGTATTACTACTTTCTTTGCTATGAACATTATTCGTCTATTTTTATTTAACAAATCTCAAAATCTTAAAAAGAGCACTTCTTCTTTAAGGAAGGATTTCCCTCGGTCTTCAGGTAGAAGCCACAAGGGAAGAAAGGACTAAGCTGTTAAATCCGGTATATTCAGCTATTCCTTATCTATGCCTGCTGGAAAAGAATTGGTATCACCCCTCCGGACCTGAATACGAAGGAAGATCCATCTTCCGAAACGTAACGATTTGATTTCAGCTTTTGAGATCTTAGGACTTAGCAAAGGACAAAATCCAAAACAAAAAAAGTAGTACAAAAAAGTAATTGCCAAAGACATTCAGGGAAAATCTGGGGCAGCATGTTCCTCTGAAACGTCGGTAGCTTCTTTAACTTCTGATTAGAGGAGGAGGACAGTCTCAGTAACTTAGGTGCAAGTCTCACGAACTTTAAGAGCGTATAATCTGTGTCAGTTGATATAACGCAGTTCCCGACTTGCTGCAGGTTTTCCGTATGAAATGGCATGCCCTGGGATTACTTTGGTGGAAATAAAGAGTTCTTTTATGAGGATACATACATAGACGTTCCATTCGGAATCAACTCAACCAACTATGCTAACATAAAACACAAGTGTAAACAATTATCTTTCGTACTAACTGCGTAAATTCGTCTATTACCGATATCATAAACTCTGCAGTAAAATTTCGTGAATACTTCGGATGCTTATGTAACTGAAGTCATCTTGACTGATAATAGTTTCGTTAAACACTGCTACGTTTACGTACAACCGCACCAGGCAGCAACATTACCCCAGTTTTGCTGTTCTGGTCAGCGCTCAAGGCGATAAACTGTCCCCAGTAGCAGGTGTATTTTCTAAAATTACATGACAGCTTCATTCTGCAACTAAATTAATTTATGCAAACGACATTAGAGTGGGGTACAGTTATAGTATTGTTGTTTACACAGGAAAATGTTGTGTGGATCTGTTTTGATGTATAACAAATAAATTAATTAATAACACAACAAATATACCAGGATATTGCACCATTTGTATTGAGGAGTAATTCTAAGACACAAATTCATTATATTTATAGGTAAATGGATATATATTTAATGAGACGGAAGTACTAGGTATCCTAAGTCTATTTTTATCCTTTTGTGAATATATGAATTTCGAAACAAAAATATCTTATAGTTTCAGATGATGAGTGTTTTCTGGGTTGTAGCGCCATACAGACTGGTAGAAGTTTAAAAGCGTTTCGGAGGTCCTTACTGCCTCCATCATCAGGGCGATAATTACTCACTAAACGGCGTTATAACCCAGAAAACAACCAACTTCGGACTCGCCATCATCAGGGAAATCGCATCAAAGAACTTAAGAACTGCTGTTTAACACAAAAATATATCACTTTAGGCTGTGTAATGTATCTGAGGGTGGATGACATTTTGTTTTGCGGTCTAACTAACTAACTAGATGGCTTAGGGAACCCGAAGGTTCATCACCGAATTAACCAAAGCCCTCCACCGAACCCTGTCCTGGGCTAACAAAATCCAATCTCCTTCAACTCCTATCTCCCACAGATCCCGCCTGACATTATCCTCCCATCTATGTCTAGGTCTCCCCAGCGGTTTCTTCCCCTCAGGCTTACCAACCAATACCCGGTGCACACCTCTTGTCCCATCCATGCGCACTACATGACCCACCCATCTCATTCATCACGGTCTAACTTGAGGTAATTTCAATGAAATATATGTCTTCAAAGAATGAATTATGTGAACAATATGGGTTATGTTGTCACACTACCACCACTAACTGCATTTTAAATGGCATTTCCAGCGACGGGTAGGCACACAAATGGAGTGACCCAGAATTTCCATAATGTATAATCGATACCTCCGTAGCAAAACTTCCCTCAGCTCTAGAAATCCCCTGTGCACTGAAGCTACTGCCTCTGCCTTTTGAAAACAGTCCACTATTTTTTGATATAGGAAACTGCCACTCGGGCAAATCCTTCACCGGAGCAGTGGGGAGTGGATCTCGTGAGATTTGAGGTTCTCACGGCTGTCTTCTGAAACACCGGCAAATTCCTACCTGACAACATGGCGCAACAACACAGAAGGAAGACATTTTTATACTGCTCTCCATTTCACATTTTAGCCCCTCTCCATGATACAGAATCTCTCTCAGCGTTCTTGGTTTGTTGAAGAGGTTAGAAAGTTCAGCTAATATATTTTTATTAAGCCTGCAGACATAAATCCACGGATAATACCTATTTCAAAGTATTATAGAAAAAATTCACCCTATTTAAATCGGAAATTAGATGTCAGACATACTGATGCGCAGGAAGCCAACTTCGCCTAGCACAAAAATACTTCCTACAAAAGAGCTCTGGAAACAAAAATCAGTTCAAACAGGATAGTTCGTGGACTCCAAACGACTTTTCCCGTTTCCTGTGTTCTGTCACCGTACAGTCATATTAAATTAAAGCACGTCTTCAACTTCTCATCTGCTTCTACGTGTACTGAAATCATATTTTGATCAACTTTGTAAATTGGAAGCACTAAAGTACTTCGGAGCGTCATGTAATACAAAGAGGTTAGTTCCTAGCAAACTGTTGCATAAGTTTCATTTGAGTTAAATTTCCCTTAGGACTTGGTCTGGAGAGATGTTGAATGTGGGAATTTTCCACAGTATATAAAACATGGCAGAGAAGGTGTTCATTTAAGTTACTCTTAATTAAACTCGCTTAACAAACTCCATGACAAGACGCCCGACATTTTTGAGAGGCCCCGGGAACGACTCTCTGGGACGTCTTAACCAAGCACTTTTACGCATATTTCACCACAGTCCGTAAGGAAAACGCCGACTTGCTACATCACAGAAGAAACAAGTCCACTTTTAGGTCTGAGTGCAACCAGAGAAAAACACGCGTTCACGGAATTATCACTGCTAGCTTCTTTGATATATTATAATTACAACCTTCTGCCCTTGGGTGTCATGGTTTGAAATCCCGACAGGATTATGGTGGTAATGTTTTCTGTCTGTGGTGGCAGAGACCGTAAGATGGCTTTACCCAGCATTCAGTTCCTCTCAGAAAATTTGTAATTCGAAAGAGGCCAGAGCACTTAAACCGTGAAGCAGCGGCTGAGTAACAGAAATAATAATGTATGAATAAATGAATTGTGAATAAAGGGTCAAGTATATTCAAATACGTTTACCGATCACGATCGATAAGATGCTAGGGCGATGAACTGCTTGCTATTTGGGATTTTGATCGGTCCATTGGTGTTCAAATCAGCCAACCTCTGTAGACGCACAAGTGGGCGAGATGCGAAGCAGCACTAACAGTCATATGGAGAGGGGCAGTACAGTCGGTGTCAAAATTTGCTAGCCGTACAGCCTGCCGCAGTCCTGTGCTTCATTCGACAACTGTACCAAGTCATCACATGACTACTGTTGACCTTGAACGTAGGACAATTTCTACATGACTAACCTGCCCGGCGTTACGTCCCAGATCACATTTTCATATTCGCCGCATAGCTAGAACCTGAAATTTCGCCCCAAAACAGCTGTGGACTTTATTTAAACAGGCCTTTTATTTATTGGGTAAATACAAACGACTAAGATTAGAGGATAATATTAAAATGGATCTGAAAAAAGTGGGGTGATGGGAACTGGATTCATCAGGCGCGTGAACACGCTAATGAACACTGGGGTTCCTTCGTACGCGGCGGGTTTCTTGACAGGCTAGGACACTAATGACGTCTGATAAAGCAATCTGATCAATAAAGTCACTAAA